ACTCAAAACCACAAGAGATGACATCCCACTCACGGAACACCTTGTAATACAAATACATTAAGACACTTATCTTTGAGAATATTTTTTTGCTCTTTGCTTGATATGTTCAATATTACAATGGCTGCTGATATGGTCGTAAATTTATTCTATTTCTGGTAAACATTTACCCTTATTTACCTTACTTCGTTTTGTCCGACATATCTGATGCGCAGCTGAAGAAATCGATGCCGCGATAACTGAACAAAAACACTTATTTTTGTGATACAAAAATCGGTTTGTTTGTATATTGGTGCATCAATATCACAGTCCTAAACGATGTAAAATTTTCAATTTTCAATGCTATTTTTATATTGGCCTCCTGTGCGAAATTCCTCCCTCCCCTCCCTCCAAAAAGACCTCTCTTTACAATATGCTAATTGCTAAGTATATATTGTATAACACAAGGGTACAACTTGTTTGCGCGCTTTTCAATGTATAACTCACGTTGCTTTTAAGATAACGATAACGATTTTCAGTATTGTCAAAACAACATTGCTATCAATCTTTAAAAACTCGCGTTTTTGTATATAATTTATTTGAAACCTCCTATGGGTACTAGTTTCAGAATTTTGAGATGGCTGGAAGATTTTTGAAGTAATTTTCATGCAATCCAAAATCCCACTTAAACCTTTCATTAAAAAAAATCAAAAATGCTAGCCACTAAGTGGTTTATTGCCGATATTTCGTGTGGACAGTGTAATTGGGTCATTTTCTTATGTCTTCAAAGTGAAATCTTGTCATTTGGTGTATACGTATCGAAAGTGAGCTTTGTTTCAATGTCAATATGGCTGTACTTGGTAAACACAATGTACTTTAGTCTTGTTTTCACAACGATTTGGCAGCTTTGAGCGCGCTTGTTTTTTAAAGAAAAGAATGAAAACTGAAAGAATGGAAAAGGGATGAAATAACAATGCAACAAATAACGATGTCCAATCATGAATACATTTGACATGATTTCGACGGCAGGTTTATTCATATTAAACCAAAGATTGTGGAAACGATTACTTTAAACAAGTCTTGATTAATAATAATTTCTTTGTTTTTGACTTTGGTTGATTTGCTTTGGAATAATTATATCCCACAGATCTTTCGTAATCGAGCTTTCTACAGACGAGTATATGTTACATATTTAAAGTTTTTTCGAATCAGTGTCAAAATTTTATGAATTTCTCTTGCTGTTGAATCTTWAAAATCTTTCAGCTTGATAGAGATGGTATCTTCATGGGTCAGATACCCTGGTTGGATAGTTAAAGTAATGGTTGATTGAATTTATGAATAGTTGTAATACGATAACAATCTGCGCGCAATTGATCAGCTTTTCTGTGGTCTTTCTTTGAAAGGGTCGTGCCCCCTAATTATCGAGTTTACCTCCTGGAAATTAACCATAAAATCCTTTRCCTTCCGATTCTTTTTGAATATTTTCAATTCGATTGCACGTGGTTCTTATGCTTACATCTAGTTTTAGTAACAACAAGCATTACTGCACGTTCTTGATGGACATGTAACCTGCTCGCTGCCATTGATACCACGTGCAGAAGACAATACGAAAAAAAATTGTACAAATTAATAATTTATATAACAATGTGTTTGAAAGCTGTAAATATCGTTAATCTTTTCTTTGTTAAACATCGTAATCTCTTTAAATACTCCAACTACTGTTAATAATAGTGAAAAACGTCTTAGAGGGAACACTCGCTAACCTTTAAGTTAAATTAAGTGCTTCTGTTAACAATAATTGATTGTAATTAATAGCACAGTAAGACGAWTTTGATACTTTGCTGTGTTGCAGGAGAGACGATGAACGTCATAGATGATTACAATTTATATRATAGTTATCATAGTACGAGCTCCATGATTAGTCAAGTGTCGCGAAAATGTTATAATATGACCCAATGTGAGATTAGCTGTATTGGGCTAAATTGGTTTTTSTCATCGTTAAATAAAGTTTATTATAATATAAAAGCAACCTATAAACGACACATTTTCGTGCGTTCCTGGTGAAATAAATCACTTGGGATATCGGGAAAACACTCGAGATTTTAACACCTTTTTGTGTTCTCCCAACATCCCGCGTGGTTTATTTCACCAGGAACGCACGAAAATGTGTTGTTTGTTGCTTAATGCAATCATATGATGGAGACCACGAGAGCCCTTGCTACTTATGTAAACGGTGATCTAAAGCTGGTCACCCGTAAACCGACCAACGCGATCGGTTAACAATATCCTTGAAATACGTTCATTTGCCATCTTAGCTTATTCATAAAGTATTGATCATCCGTAGACAACCCCCTTTTGGAAGAAGGGGTTAAGGTGGTGTTTTATAGAAGAGGTTAAAAGTGCTATAGCTGGTCGGTTTCTGGGTGCTACCAATGAATACTACGACCTGACTCGTTTGGCTGGTCGTATTACAGGTCGATATTATTAGGTTCAAATGCAATTCGGTTTCCCTAAACCCTAAGGTTCGCTTTAATATTGAACATTTTCATTGCCAGGAAATACAGAAAAATGTGTCACTTGGGCTTCAGAAAAAGAAACAGGAAAGACATGMCATTGTTCTCAACCATCGCCGGCGTCTCGTCAACAAAGGTGGGTCAGAATCCAGTTCTTGTCATATTGACATGGGATATTTAGTAATCCTTTCACAGCCAATCAGTGAACGCGTTATTTCARCATTGTTTCATACAACCAATCAGCACGTGCGTTAGAATTACGATAGTTATTGTTTATTTGTGTAGGTAACGACTCTGAAGACTCTCCATTCACCACTCGTTCACCACATTTAGTAAAACCCGATAAAGAACCAAAACTAGACCAATCACGTGACAAACCGTTGAAGGACACCAAAGCATCACGGGAACGAACACATCGTCGYCACTTAAAGACGTTTAAATGGCGAACGGAACCCTGGGGAAGTCACGTGAGTTGATATAAAACCTTAAGTTTATCTGTCTCTCAACATCAACATGTCAACATGTGAGGAGTGTTGTGTGCTAAAATACTTAATGTACGGGTAGTGAGTGTGAGAGTATAGAGGGCCACAAGTTCATCAGTTCTTTACTGGCACGTGTTTACCCTCTTAAAACAAAGTGGATTTATTTATTTTTATTTTATTCTGTTCATTGATTTTTTTTTTCTCTCTGACTTATTGCGTCTGCAGATGTTTGGGCAGCTGAATGTCCATGTTTGGCAGGCGTGGTGCGGGAATACAATACACGACCTTAGACGCAATTGGTTCTTTCCCTTGTACCCAGACCTACGCCTGTCAGTCAGTCGATTTTACGTGAAGCACTATGAAAGTGACTAYGGTCAAAGAATATTTGGTTACMTACACCCTCCCCTCACAGGTATGACGTCATTTCCATCCTCCTTTGTTCCGTATTTGGGGGTGTCTTTTTGGAGTGTTATTTTCTGACAAGTACAATTCGTTTCACTTTAGGGAAATATTTATTCGCTTTGTCATCTGACGACACGTCGGAATTATGGCTGAGCACAGACGAACACCCCGAAAATGTAAAGCCAGTGGCTTGGGTTGGCAACCTCACAAGCTTTAGTGGAAGCTACAGAACTAATGTCGCTGAATTCACTAAGTACAGCACACAATTATCCAGACAAATTTATCTTAAAAAGGGACAAAAATACTTCGTCGAAGCCCTTCATAAGCAGGGCGCGAGACAAGACCACATTCTCGTGGGCTGGAAGATMCCCGGTCTACCCGGTTTTCGTTATATTACAGGGAATTCTATATCTATGTATATCTACGATCCTAATGCGTCTCCTGATGTAGCAAAGTATGCCGGRTACATCCCGCAGACTATGCCATCACACACTCATTCACATAATTGGAGCGTAGTRCTGGATCGAGAGGTGCATAAATTCGGTACCAATAAGGAACCAGAAGTTGAGCATCATAAAACTAGACCCCCGTTTTTAAATTTTGATTACTTATTTTACAAATGTAAATACGAGCCAAGTTATTTAGTGAAGAATTTTACATTAAGACGATATGAAGGAGTTGGACTGATCCACGATTCYGCCGTTTACCCAGATGACAATACCGCTTTGACTCATATGAGACCGTTTGATACGTGTGGTCATCATCGACGATACACTGACTCTCACGGAAATAATCTAAATATAACGACCTCAAAACATAGAAATCGTACGCTTTACTCGGAAGGATCGATTAAAGTCTTCGGGCCCGAYGGTGAGGGTTCGGTTGTTACGATGTCTTCCGATCTCTCCGATGCGTATCCGGTCGAGGGCGACAGTCTCAACGGGGAACAAACCTCTGATAAACCAATCTTTCGTAGTATGGAGGAGAGAGTTCGTACGATAGCTGAAGCATATAAAGACTTTAATAATTCAAGGACGGAACAAGTGCAGTATGACACTATAAAACCTAATGATCCAAGAACGAGTTCCCATGGAAACACCAATCACTTCGACCCTAGCAACGTTAACGATGAGAAAACCGTYGTTAATATTAAAAAAAGAAGCATTAACGACGACAACGTTGTACCAAAAGAATCAAACTCGCAGCATCGTGGCGCGATTTTAAACATAGCGAAAAGAATACACGAACGCTTAAAACAACCCCTTACAAGAMCTGAAACGAGTGACAACAATGCTGTARATAGTATAAAGAGTCACATGGACCAAGCAGCTCTGAGTGATGCTGGAAATACTTATCGACAGCAAAGTCCAATAACCTTTCAAACATATCTGCCATCGATTCAAGAGCTGCAGGGAGAACTAACTGCAAAACACTCCGATCAAATCGTAAATCAAAAGAAGCAAGATTCAAGACAGGTCCATCAAGGTTCAAGACAGGTCTATCAGGATTCGAAACAATTTCGTCGAGATTCGCAACAGACTCATCAAGATGCCCAACAAGTGAATCAAGATTCGAAACAGGCTCGTCGAGATTCAAAACAGGTTTATCAAGATGCGCAGCAGGTCAATCAAGATTCAAAACACGTTAATCGAGATGCCCAACGGGCTCATCAATATGCGCGACAAGTGAATCAATATTCGCAACAGGTTTATCAAGATTCAAAACAGTTTGATCAAGATGCGCAACAGGTCAAGCAAGATTCAAAACACGTAAATCGAGTTACCCAACAGKCTCAYCAAGGTGCGCAACAAGTTTATCAAGATTCGCAACAGGTTTATCAAGATGCGCGACAAGTTCATCAAGATTCGCGACAAGTTCATCAAGATTCAAAACAGGTTTATCAAGATTCAAAACAGGTTCATCAAGATGCGCGACAAGTTCATCAAGATTCACAACAGGTTTATCAAGATTCAAAGCAGGTTCAACAAGATTCTCAAAAAGTCCAAATTCGACGGGCAACTCTAAGAAAGTTGATGGCTATTTCTGTTGCATCACAAACACAACAGGTATGACTAATAACTTGTGA